CCCCCCCCCCCCCCCCCCCCAATTATATAAATTTACTATCCTACCCGGGGAAAAGTTCTGCTTCAAAAGATTTCTGAGAAAATGTGAAGAACCCCATAATCCAACTACTTAAGTGAAACTCCAAGGAATTCAAAGGACCATTTTAATATCCCATTACAGAGCAGAGCTTTCAGTAGTAACCACTCTTCATAAGTAACACGAGAAAATGTCTATTTACAAATATCAGTCACTTTTATCATTTTTAGCTCTCATCCCTTCAAAGCAGCTTTTATTTCCTCAGGCAGGATTCTTTGGACTCTCATTAAATCCCTGCTACCTACAAATTTAAACCAGAGGCACATCGACTGGAATGAATGAAATGGTGGGGTTACAATTAGCTTACAGGGGTCTCAGCCTTCTCTGCCATGAAACCTGCTTTAACTCAGAATGAACCTTGCGAGGGAACAAAACCAGTGAAGAATAAAATCAATTTTCTGTCAGAAGAGTGAGGTGCACCCTAAGAAACACCTCGCATTGCCACAGGGGCAGCATGATGAAAGCATAAAGCTCCTGGTTGGTGTTACTCTGCAGCTGCTCTCACGGAGGAGTGATGTCAGTAGGAACTGCCCTGCCTCCTCCTCCTCCTCCTCCTCCTCCCTACCCTGCCCGCCAGCGGGATGAAGCTGGGCAGTGTGCTGGTACCTGAGCATCCCCACTCCCGGCTCACTTTTCCCCCGGTGCATTAGTTTCCCAAGAGGCAGCCTGCACTCAGAGACGATTAATTACACTCCGAGTTGAGTGTTGAGGTTCAGGAATTTAGCAAAAGTAGATTTCCACTTCAGCTGATCTCTTCAGACCTCACACAAGCCCGCGGCCGCTAAGCGTTGTCGGAGAGAGCGGTGTCGTCAGCGGTTCCGAGGGAGATGCCACCAGCCCTCCCACCCCCAGGGCTCTGTCCCCTCCTCCACACCTTGTTCTGTACCCCCGGCAAAACCTCTCGCTTTTCAGAGTTTCAGTTTGTCCTTCACAAAATAAGTGTTATTAAGAAGAAAGGCTTGAATCCCTTCACACCGAGAAAGCGCGTGTATTTTTAGAACACTGTGGGCTATTAGACCTTCCCGAAGGGACGGGAAAATGCTGCCAGGAGTGAGTTTTACTGCACAATATATGGTTTCCTGGAAGAGAGGGAACAAGTCTGTTTTCCCCGTGATAAGAGCTGCCCACTCACCCGCTCCTCCCGGCCCTGGGCCAGGATGACGACGATCCTGCCCTGGCGCCGCCGCCCCGTGCGGCCCATCCGCTGCACCAGGCGAACAGGGCTCTTCTGGGCGTCGAAGCAGACGATGAGATCCAGCTCCCCGATGTCCAAGCCTTCTTCCCCCACGCAGGTAGAGACCAGGGTGTTATACCCCCCCTCACGGAAGCGTTTGACCACCTGAGTGAGTGATTACAATCAGATTTAACAGGTTAGTCAGAAAGCCCCCTGTACACACTCCGTCGTTCTTCCAGACAGAAGATAGAAATAATTGATTTATATTTTAAAGCTACAAAGCTCAGTCATTCTGAATTCGTCAGCTAATTCATCGCGATCAAATACCATGCACTAGTGTTACCAACATCAACATACCAAATCTTCAATTCTCAAAGAAAGGAAAAAAAGCACACCTTATTCTGACTCCAACCATGCCATTCTTCTAAAATTCATCTTCCCAACTTTGCAATTACATTTTAATTATTTTTTTAAAACTTTGCTAGACCAAAGTTTAAGAACAGATCTTATTTGTTCTGCCTACAAGAAAAAAAATAACCTCCCTAAGCAAGTATTTGAATATTTCCCCAGATTTTCAGATATATACAGGTTATCATTTGTTAACATAATGTAAACGTATAAAATATTTGTAATTCTACGTTCTGTTCAATGAGTATAATTTTGGATACTCTGAAAGCAACTGAACTACACAGGAATTAAGTAATGACATTTTGGAGTGTGGTCACAGAATCACAGAATCACAGAATCTTCTAGGTTGGAAGGGACCTTAAAGATCATCTTGTCCAACCGTCAACCTGACTGACAAAAATAGACACCCACACAACAAACAAGGAGCATCATCACTAAACCAGACCTCCCAGCACTACATCAACCCATCTTTTGAACACCTCCAGGGATGGTGCCTCAACCCCCTCCCTGGGCAGCCCATTCCAATGGCTGAGAACCCTTTCAGTGAAAAAATTTTTCCTAATATCCAGCCTGAACCTCCCCTGGGGCAACTTGAGGCCGTGTGGTCACTGCCACACAATATCTGTCACTCCTCAGACAGCTATTTATACAATTAATGCTCTTTGTCACTGTTTCCTAATACAATTCTCATCTTTTCTTTACCTCGAGTTGCTCTTTCTGTGTGAAGCCCTTGGTGCTCTTTCCTGTGGAGTGGCCAACGAAGGTCATGACCCGCACGGCGGGGCTGAGGCGGGACAGCATGTCCGCGATCTCCTGCACGCTGTCTCGGAAGGAGGAGAAGATCATCACCCTGGTACCCACAGCCTCCACGCACGGGCTTTCGGCCCTCACCTCATCTGCTGCAGTTCAAAAAGCCAGAACAAAATTTTATGCAGAATTTTAAAATAATTATCAATAAAAAAGCAAGGACGGGTCATCGCATAAGCTACACATTCACAGCTCTCATCCCACCTAACGGGAAGGTTCTGTCCAAGTGTACTGCATTTTGATTTTTTCAAAAGAAATTTTCTTTAAAAGAAATTTCATTTTTAAAGAAATTAAGCAAATAAATGAATAAAAAACAACAGTAGGGAAAACTGACAATTAGGAGCCTCTCAACCTATTTAGGCCAACTTCCAAGAAAATGCTCCGAGATGCATCTGCTCAAACAATTCCTCTCTGGAATCAAAGCAAAATTCTAATTTTGGAGAAGTTACAATAACTCTGGGGAAAACACCCTACCATTGAGGCACCATTACTAATGTCACTTTGAAAGGCTCAGATTTGATGGCAGATGTCTTTGAAACTTTATTTAAGCTTAAGATGCCTTCTTCCAAAGAGCCTACAATGGGATTTTTAAATCTGGTTCTCAAATGCCAAGAGTGAGGTGAGGTTAGCAATACATAGCCATAAAAACCACTGTCACCATTAGCCTAGGACACAGCAGGGTGGAATAAGAGACATGTTTACCAACTTCCTATGATTTACTACAGCACGTTGTCTCTACTTCCACAGCTCAGGATCCTCATGACAGCAGAAACGTGTGAAAACTTCCCTTAATACCACAGTCTGTTGCTTGTGAATGACCTGTCATCACACCTGGTTAGAGCCCTCATTTATAGCAAAGATAACATCTCCTTTTTTCAAAGAAAAGGGAAAAATAATTGCCTTTGACCAAACCCACATTTCTTACATTACACCATCACGGTTTTATCTTCTGGGTACTCAACTTTTTTTTTTCTTCTTCTTTTTTTAAAACATTTAAGAGTACCTGCCTTCATGAGTACAAGCAAAAGTTGCCTAAGGAACATGCAAGTCTTACACAGCCACCTCCTGTTTATCCCATCCAGACAATAAACCAACAACAAAACACACTCCAGAGTGAAAACCCGGTATGCTAAAAAAGAGATTCTCTGAAAGGACTGCAGTGCAGGCTGGATGCATCTCACGTACACGAGTTCATATTATCCTCCCCCACTGACTTTATTCTGAACATTATTCTGTATCTATTTTTAGCATATTCCCATGATTCAAATAACAATAATGCTCAGTAGCATCTGTCCCTGTATTGTAAAAAAATGTTACGTTGCTGCCATTACCTCCTTCTTCACCTTCTCCAACACCAGCCTGAGAAAATTCAAGCCACGAGCAGCCCATAATCAATCTGAGGAGTAATCCAGGTATGGAAGATTAGCGCAGAGAAGCTCATTATGCTCAGCCAACTCTTCTTAGGGGCTGCCCAGAACCTTATCTTGCACTTACCTGAATTGCTGGTAATTGCACAGCCAGGGCAACAGCCACGTGGCTGGGAAACTCAGCCTTCGCCCGGCTGGTCGCTGCTCAGAAAGGGGGCTGGGTGGCACAGGAACTCAGCACCACTCCACACTTCTCAGGGGAGAGCTCCCACTTCCAACGGAGGAACCAGAGCTAGTGTTGTTCTGATATGGCTAGTCACCTACGTTATTAATACTTTTCTGCCTCAAATGTAGGGCTTCTCAAGGGAAATGTTTTGCAGGAGTAGATATTTGTTTTAAAAATTGCACAGGCACGAACACAGTAAATTAGGATTCAGAGTAGTTCAGCAACAGAACAAAGCAGAGTTAAGTTCAGAGGGTGTATTTGCCTCTGTGTTTTATTTTCCCCTGGAGATACCACACACCTGCCTGAGTGAGTTCCTGACACAAATGCTGGATGTGTTTTTCACTGCTCACATAATGATTTAGGCTTTTGTTTCAGAGCCTTCTGATGGACCAAAAGATACAGGTGATTATGGCTGGAATCTTAATAAGTCCTGAAGTTTTTACTGACAGATTCATGACAAATTCTTGTCTGGAGGAGCGAGAAATGAGGACATGGGTGTGGATTCTATTCAGTCACTAAGGGCAGAAACACAGGTTTGGGGTTATTGCTTATTTCTCTGAGTTGTCGGTACTTACCAGAAGATCCCTGTTTCCAGGATTTGAAGTGTCCTATTACAATTTCCTCCAATTTCCTTAATTTTGGATGGCTGTAGATAAATTCCTTTTTATTTTCCAACACTGAAAAGGAAATAAAGCCATTAAAACTGTTGCAGTTTTGCTTACAAGTGACTTTCATTTCCTCCCGCTATAATTCTTTGAGTCAGCCATACAAATTCCTGACCCTGTCTTAACTGCGCTCACCTAAGCAAACCAGTAAACTACTTAGGGAAGCACATTTGCTAAGCCCAGGTTTTGAGAAAGTGTTGTTATTTTTGTTGCATTCACGCTGTCAAAGATATCAAGTCAAACAGTAATATTTTAACCACTCTTTTAAAATCAAACTAAAAACTTCAAACATAGAAAACTTGTTTGAAGGCAGCTAAAACCACTGAAAGAAAACAGACAGGTAAATAAATAAGAGTCTGGGGAAAACAATCTGGAATAAAGAGCACTAGTTGAGTGTACCACAATGAAGACCTTTCTGCATTTACACACTATGTAGAGGTATCTACTGTTTCATTTAAACACAAGGCAAATATTCCATCCCTGAAAGGGCAATACTGACCTGTTGTACTCTTGTAAACACTTCCATTGGCTGAAGGCAGCGTGTCTGCAAACATGTCCCTGAGCTGCTGATACAGCTTCATGAAGTCCTCGTTACGACCAAGTTCATTCTTCGTACGGGTTAACCCTTTGTAAAAAGTTGAAATATCTCAGTATTTAATCTCTGGAGTGAATATAATTTCTGCTATCCAAAAGACAAGCTTTCTCAGAATTGGCAAGCTCATCTCAAGAGCTGGAAGATACATGGTAGCTTTAGAAAATAGCATACACATTGTTTGGCATCAGTATTTTTCAGGGAAGATGCCATTATAGAATTTAAACATGAAAACATGAATTGAAACGTGAAAAACACGTGTATAAACCAAATCCTGGTCCTTTGGGTAAATTAAAGAGTTTCACATCAACCATTTAGTACTAGAAAAGGCATCCAGTCCAGAAACATTGAGGACAGTGAGAGCCTGGCCCAGGTTGCCCAGAGAAGCTGTGGCTGCCCCATCCCTGGAGGGGTTCAAGGCCAGGTTGGAGGGGCCTTGGAGCAACCTGGTCTGGTGGGAGGTGTCCCTGCCCAGGGCAGAGGGTGGCACTGGATGGTCTTCAAGGTCCCCTCCCACCCAAACCACTCTGTGAGTCTATGAAGTGCTGCCCATTAACCAAAGAGAAAGAAATCTAGACAAAAAGCTAGAATTAGCAAGTTTCTTAAATGATTTTGTATCAATGTTGAAAGAGATTTTGTTTTATTCAAACCATAAATCAAACTTAGCAGAACCAGCACAGAAGACCTATTTATTAGGTCTCTTACCCATCAGTCCTCTTTCAGACAGCTGACCAGATGATCATTGTAAGACCCTTCCAACTGAAATATTCTATTCCATTCAAATGTTCTACTTTAGTCAGTAGCAGACAGGGATTTAAGGAATCTGAGAAACTAGGCAACAGATGAAATGCTCTCCAGTGCCCAGGTCTAAGAGCAGCACTACACCATCAGAAATGTAAAAATCTGCACGTGTGAAAGTAATAAATTGCAAAAATCTCAAAAGAATAAAATTAATGAGAAATTACTAGCACATGTGTACTATAAAAATATATTCTATAGCTATTCCCTAATATGAAGCAAGCACTTCACAAGCTTTTGGTTCAGCCGTAGAGCGAGGTGGTGCCATTTGAATTAAGCAGTGCTATAGGCAAAGCAGCTTT